GTATGTATGTATGTATGTATGTACGTACGTATGCGTGTATGAATATATGTATGAATGTATGTATGCGTGTATAAATATATGCGTGTATGAATTTATATATGTGTGTGTGTATGTATGCATGTATGTATGTGTATATGTGTGTATATATGTATGAATGTATGTGTATGTATGCGTGTATGAATATATGTATGTATGAATGAACGTATGTATGTATGCACGTGTGTATGTATGCGCATATGAATGTATTCATGTATGTATGTATGCATGAATGTATATATGTGTATGTATGAGTGTATGAATATATACATGTATGAATGAACGTATGTGTGTATGTATGTATTTATGTATGTGTGTGTATGTATGTATTTATGCATGCGTGTATGAATGGATGCGTGTATATATGCGAGTATGAATGTATGTATTTATTTATGTATATATGTGTGTGTATGAATGTATGTGTATGTATGCATGTATGAATGTATGCATGTATGTATGTATGCGTGTATGAATATATGTATGTATGCGTGTATGAATATATGTATTTATTAATGAACGTATGTGTGTATGTATGTATGTGTATATGTATGTATGCATGTTTGTATGTATGTATGTATGTATGTATGAATGTATGCATGTATGAATGAACGTATGTGTGTATGTATGCGTGTATGAATGTATGTATGTATGCGTGTATGAATATATGTATTTATGAATGAACGTATGTGTGTATGTATGTATGTGTATATGTATGTATGTATGTATGCATATGTGTATGTATGCGTGTATGAATGTATGTATGTATGCGTGTATGAATATATGTATGTATGTATGCGTGTATGAATATATGTATTTATGAATGAACGTATGTGTGTATGTATGTATGCATGTGTGCATGTATGTATGCGTGTATGTATGCGTGTATGAATGTATGTATGCGTGTATGAATGTATGTATGCGTGTATGAATGTATGTATGCGTGTATGAATATATGTATGTTGTTTGTATGTATGTATTTTTGTATGCATGTGTGTATTTATGAGTGTATTTATGTATGTATGTATGCATGAATGCATGTATGAATTAACGTATGTGTGTATGTATGTATGTGTATATGTATGTATGTATGCATGTGTGTATGTATGCGTGTATGAATATATGTATGTATGAATGTATGTATGTATGCGTGTATGAATATATGTATTTATGAATGAACGTATGTGTGTATGTATGTATGTGTATATGTATGTATGTATGCATGTGTGCATGTATGCATGAATGTATGTATGTATGTATAAGTGTATGTATGCGTGTATGAATGTATGTATGTGTGTATGAATGTATGTATGCGTGTATGAATATATATATGTTGTTTGTATGTATGTATGTTTGTATGCATGTGTGTATTTATGAGTGTATGTATGTATGTATGAATGTATGTATGCGTGTATAAATATATGCATGTATGAATTAACGTGTGTGTATGTATGTATGTGTATATGTATGTATGTATGCGTGTATGAATGTATGTATGCATGTATGTATGTATGCGTGTATGTATGCATGTATGAATATATGTATGTATGTATGTATGTATGCACATGTGTATGTATGCGCATATGAATGTATTTATGTATGTGTGTATGTATGCATGAATGTGTATGTGTGTATGTATGTATGTATGCATGTATGAATATATTTATGTATTTATGCGTTTATGAATATATACATGTATGAATGAACGTATGTGTGTATGTATGTATTTATGTATGTGTGTGTGAATGGATGTGTGTATATATGCGAGTATGAATGTATGTATTTATTTATGTATATGTGTGTGTGTATGTATGTATGAATGTATGTGTGTGTATGTATGTATGAATGTATGCATGTATGTATGCGTGTATGAATATATGTATGTATGTATGTATGTATGCATGAATGTATGTATGCATGTATGTATGTATGTATGTATGTATGTATGTATGTATGTATGCGTATATGAATATATGTATTTATTAATGAACGTATGTGTGTATGTATGCATGTGTGTATGTATTTATGCATGAATGTATGTATGTGTATATGTATGTATGCATGTTTGTATGTATGTATGTATGTATGTATGTATGAATGTATGCATGTATGAATGAACGTATGTGTGTATGTATGCGTGTATGAATGTATGTATGTATGCGTGTATGAATATATGTATTTATGAATGAACGTATGTGTGTATGTATGTATGCATGTGTGCATGTATGTATGCGTGTATGTATGCGTGTATGAATGTATGTATGCGTGTTGTTTGTATGTATGTATTTTTGTATGCATGTGTGTATTTATGAGTGTATTTATGTATTTTTGTATGCATGAATGCATGTATGAATTAACGTATGTGTGTATGTATGTATGTGTATATGTATGTATGTATGCATGTGTGTATGTATGCGTGTATGAATAT